ACCTCCTGTATTTTCTTTTTTCCATTTTACTAATAGCGAAGTGACTATCTCGGCACAAGAATAAAGAATGATGAATTGGGCGCGAACACGAGAGAAGTCCCCTAGGAAGGGGAAAAACTTTTGTTTTAGCTGTAAAGATTGTGGCACCTCGGCATAGAGTAGGGACTAGGGAGTACTACGTGTTATCTTAAAGAAGAGGCGCGAAATACAATACACATATTTATTTAGAATTAAATATTTTAATTTAAATCAAGTAAAAATATCTAATTTTAAATAAATATGTGTATTATATTAAGTAAATAAGCTCTTGGCATTAATCTAAATAATTTTTTTTAATCTAAATATTTTTTTCTCAGTGTACTTATATTGTTGCCAATTTAAAACAATTTTCCGAAAATCCAATTACCATTCACAAGCACTCAGAATAACTTTTATCGAAACAAAATCTGTTCCAATTATCGAGACGTTCCGTAAGATGTAATACAACTGTTACGATATGACGATTCGAGAGGGGACGTGCACGTTTTCGGAAAATATCCCGAGAAGCTTGACGGGTAATCGAAAGCTTCAAATCGACAGCTAATTAGAGAAAGGGATAATCAAGGCGTGACGAGATCTCGTCGGTTGTTGTTTCAGGCATAATTAATCCCACGAACATCATGCCGCGGCCAAGAGTATGCGTAATCAATAATCGGGCGTTCTTCGTGTTCGGCTCTCTGATCGCCTTCTACATCCCTATGATTGTCATGGTGACGACTTATATCCTGACACTGCAGCTGTTGCGCAAAAAGGCCCGTTTCGTGGCCGAGAACGCGGAGGGCGATCAGTTTCGCCGGCTAGGCGGCAGATATTCGTCCACAAAAACGACATCGTCGAGAGCGTCGTCGTTTAACACGGCCACCGCAACCACTGCCGTGCGATCGTCCTCAGCATCCTCGGCAAGACAGCACTTCGGCTGTAACGCGGAAAAAGAAAAGTAAGAGTACATTTATTAAAAAAATTTTTTTGTCCAAAATACAATATTGCTTGAAAGAATTTTAGTCTTTATTATTTATTTTTTTCCGGTCGAAGAAATCATCCTCTTTTCCGCTTTACGATTCTAGTTCGAAAACACCTTTTGTACAGATATTGTAATTTTATAATTTAATTATATTATTTATATCGGATGTTTTGTAAAATTAAGTTACAATATAAATTATTCGTAATTTTGCACACAAGCATTTACACTTACGTAAAGATAAAAGTGCAGAAAAATAAATGCTAAAACAAAGAATAAATTTTAAAAACTAGATTGAACGCCGTGATTATAACTTCTATGTTATATCATGCTTTCATATTTCACGAAAAAAGTTAAATTTTTACGTAAAATGTAATTATGTAATTTACAATTATCAAAAAAATAAAATTGTAACTAATATAGCAATTATTTATATATACAAGTCGTTTATAACAGCAGCTTTATGCCAGACATCGCGCATGCAACATCCCTGATATCAATGCGACGCGACGGTCCACGAGACTATGCATCTTAAATCAAGCGTCTCGACGCAATGGCCAGTCCGAGGCCGTGAATTAATGCGATCTCAACTTTCTTCATTAACGCGTCAATTTTTAATCGTAAACTCTCAACAATCTGCATACGAAAACAATAATATTGCCATGTTATTGCTGTTACAAAATAAAAAGTAGATTAACAATGTAACATAAACAATGTTGTTTTCATTTCTATGGAACATATCGTATTACATGAAAATGAGAATATTTTATTATAAAAAAATTGATTTATTTAAAATAATTGTAGAAGATAACATAGAGAAAGCGTTTGCACATGCAAGATTTTTTTGCCTTTTTTTTTTAATATTAATTAACTGTAATCTTTATATTTCTTGGTAAAAAGTTTAAATTATTATACATAAAATAACGTATGGGACATTTGTCCCAGAACGAACAGGCGAATATAGTTACTGAAAGATTTAAAAACCTTAATTATTGAAACAGCCACAAATGCGAAGGTGCGAGAAAGGTCCTACCGCATTTGAAGTTAGCGGTGGACGGCGCCGGGAGTCCCGCCGCAGGACCTCGGCTCAAGTTGAAAGTGGATCAGACGACCCAAACGCCGGAGAACATCGCGCGTGAAACACGGAATTTTACCCTCAGGGCCCTGAAACTGCAACTGAATGTCACGCCGACCACGCTGAATCTCAAGTATAGCAATTTTTCTCCAAGGAATCCGGAAATATATTGAAAATTCCGCGTTCTTGATAATCGACATTCTTCAAGGTTTCTGGCGGGCCGGGCAAAAAAGAGAGCCTTGGTCGCGAATGCGGTCGCGACCGAGGAGAAAGCCAGCAAGGTCCTAGGATTGGTGTTCTGCACGTTCGTGCTGTGCTGGTCACCGTTCTTCCTGCTGAACATCTTCATCGCCGCGTGTCCCAGATGTCCCGTGTCGAGGCACATGATGGATACGTTTCTTTGGCTGGGCTACGTGTCCTCGACGATTAACCCAATTATCTATACTATTTTTAACCGGACCTTCCGAACCGCGTTCATTCGCTTATTGAAGTGCAAGTGTTCGAGGTAACGCAATTCTTCCTCTTCTTATTTACTCCGTCTTAAATGAACTTCAGAAAATCTTATAAGAATCTGACAGGAACTGTTATACCTTTTATAAAAACAAAAGAGAAAAGTACATTTAGTAAAAATATCACAACTCTCTTAGGTCCACGAGGCCTTCGAGATATCGATCGGTCACGGGAAGCGGAAGGGGAGCAGTAGGCACATCAGGTGCTCTTCCACTGACCATCAGTCTTCAAGGTACACCCTTGCTAACCCCAACTTCGAATCCGACACCGACGCCGGCGTCGGGAAGCTCGTTCGTCACGATGATGCACCGAACGCCGAATTCGCTGTACCAAGACACCTTCTTGATTCGTGAACGCGATCAGAACGATCATGACATCTACATCGATAATTTAGTAGATCACGCTGTGCAACACGATTTTTACCCTCTCGGCGAAAACAGGTAATCTTAATTGAAAAAAATCTCAATGTACATAGAATGTAAATACAATTTATTCTATAAATAATCACGATACTGTTTGTTACTTGAAAACTAGGTATATGCGCGATATTATGGTACGCAGATTCAGATTCTGCTTCCTTATGTCGATTACAGCCACTTAATTAATTAAGTTTTATGATTAAGATCAACCCAAAAGATGGAAGATAGAAAGGACCTTAAAGTTTGTTATGCGCCGCAGTGTTATCGATCAAGAAGATCCGCAAAATAATGTTTTGTTAGCGAGTTCCTAAAGTTGCTTAATGACTATCTATTGTCGAAATTGAAGTAATATCTATGTACGAAACAAAATAAAACAATATTGCTATTTTAGCGCGAGCTCCATTTTTTCTTTCTGCAAATTAATTCTTTTATAAATCAATTATCCATGCACTGTTGGAAAATTTGTGTTAAATATAACATAAATTACATGTTCCAAACGGTTCACTCAAATTTTTGTGTTAATTTAACATAATATGGATGTGTTAAATGGTAACACCGATACTATGTTAAAATATTTCAACAGAAAGGAAATGTAATTCTGATCGGAGGTTAATTATGTGTACAATTAAATTGTAAGATAAAATCAACACTCTTTTTCTGTAAATTTTAACACATTTAATAATTACGTTCAAATTATGTTACTTTAATATATTTTTTAAATTATTTTAATAATTTTACATTTTTAATTTGTAAAGTTCAATTAACAACAGCAGGCATATGTTAAATTTACACATATATGTGTTGATTATTTTACACAAAAATTTTAGCACAAAGACCTTTTTTAACAAAACTACAAAAATTTTCCAACGGTTTGTGGAGATTAAAAAGGTACTTCTTTTTAATAAAAGAAATAAATTATAAGAATTTAGCGATGAAATTGAGCCTGTATTGCCGCTAAAGGACGATGGGTAAAATGGACAGGTTGCGTAAAAAGTGTAACGTAATTAAGTTATATCATTAAAAAATGAATGTTTTAAAAAGTCGAATCGCCAAGGGCTTGTATGAAAAACTGTTATATATTATAAAATTATGTTGTACAAAATTGTTTTAACATATTCAATCAAAAATATAAAATAATTGTGCATTACAACATAAATGGTATTGATATCCGTAAGAAAAATGTTTAGGGGAATAATAAGTGTTGTTCCATATTTTATAACTTTAAAAACTATATATGTATAGAGTAAATATAAGGGCGGCAGTGTGGTCTAGTAGTAAGGCACCAGACTCGTAATCTGAGGAACCAGGTTCCAGTTCACTAGAGCTATGAAGCATGGAATGTTTTTCAGATAGCTGCGCCCCTCCGTGTAAGATATAGGCTCTTGTGCGGAGAAAACTGGGCTCCGTCTTTCGGAAAGAGACGTTAAGCCGTTGGTCCAAAGGGTTAAAGTGAGAGGAGAAGGATAGTGTTGGTAGTAGATTGCGAACCCTGCGGGGATATGCAATAAATAACGAATTTTACAGGAATTTATATATATATATATATATATATATATAT